GCGTGACGCCCCATACCCCCGCCCATGCCTAGAGCAACATGCCGCCTGACGCTTCGATCCGAACGCCGGTGACCCAGCGTGACGCGTCAGAACACAGAAAGGCTACGACGCCGCCTATATCCTCGGGCAGCCCCACCCGGCCCAGCGCCGTATGCTCGGCGATGGCGTCTTGCATTTGCGGAATATCGCGCACAACCCCTCCATTGAAATCGGTGGCGATGGCGCCCGGCGCCAGCACATTCACGCGAATACCGCGCGCACCCAGGGTCTGCGCCATGTAGCGGGTCAGCACCTCGACTCCGCCCTTCATCGTGGCGTACGCAGCCGCGCCCGGGAAGCTGAACCGGGCCAGCCCGCTTGAGACATTGACCACCCCGCCGCCATTATTGAGGAGCTCCAGCGCGCCCTGGGTCAGGAAGAAGGTCGATTTCAGATGCACGTTCATCATCAGATCAAAATCTTCAACACTGGTTTCCTCGAAGGGTCTGTGCAGACCGATCCCGGCATTGTTGACGAGATAGTCAAAGCGCTCGGCGTCGAACTCCGAACGCAGGGCTGCGCGAACCGTCTCGAAGAAGGCCGGAAAGTCCTCCGCCTTCGCCACATCCAGTCGAAGGGCGTGTGCACGCTGGCCCAGGCCTGCGATCTCGGCGACCACGGCCTCTGCGGCTTCCGGATTGCTGACATAGGTCAGAAGAACGTCGTGACCCGATTGCGCCAGTTTCAGCGCCATATCCCGGCCCAGCCCCCGGCTGCCGCCGGTCACAAGTGCGATGCTCATTGTCTTGCTCCTGAAAAGCTTGAGAGGACCGCTATGTAAATCGGTCGACTTTTCAGAAACAGGCGGGCAATTTTGTCGTCACTTGTCGAAAATGGCGAACAATTATGGACACGATCCGTCAGTACCAGATCTTCATCCAGATCCTCGAGAGCGGGAATTTCACCCGCGCCGCCGAGGCTCTAGGTCTGCCGCGCTCCACGGTCTCGACCACCTTGCGCACCCTGGAGGACCGACTGGGCGAGCAATTGCTCCACCGCACGACCCGGCAGGTCAGCGCCACGCCGCAAGGCGAACAATTCCTGCAGCTTGCCCGCGATGTAGTGGAGAACGCCGAAGCGGCGGAAACCCTGTTCCAGGGCGGCGGCGGGCCGGTCAGCGGCCGGTTGCGGGTGAATATGACCAGCCAGCTCGCCTCCCGGCTGGTCATCCCCAACTTGCCCGGGCTTCAGACCGCCCACCCTGCGCTCGAGATTGAGCTGAGCGCCAGCGATCGCCTGATCGACCCCGTTCTGGAAGGCATGGATCTGGTGGTGCGGGCGGCGGAACTGACCGATTCAGACCTGATCTGCCGCAAGATCGGCGACATTCCGATGGTGAGCTGCGCCTCTCGCGCCTATCTCGACCAGCGCGGCGCCCCGACAAGCCCGGAGGATCTCGATCAGCATCTGATCGTGGCCTATGGACCGTCAGGCAGCGCCGAGGCCCGCCTCTGGGAAGGGCTTGGCCCAAGCGGGCTCGTCACCTGCACGCTTGCGAGCGTTATTGCGGTCGACAATACAGAGGCCTATACGAGCGCCTCGCAGGCCGGGCTCGGCATCGTGCAAATCCCGCGCATCCATCTGGACAGGCACAATACGGACGGCCCCACACAACTGGTGGAAATCCTGCCCGATTGTCCGCCGCCGCCCATGCCGCTCTCTTTTGTCTATCCCAGACGCCGCCGCGCCTCGCCCCGGCTCAATGTCTTCATGGACTGGCTGGACGGGCTGGTCAGGGCAGAGGGCTTTGTCAGCTGAGGTCCGGCTTCAGACGGATCTGACCCCACAAAAGGCGGATCCGGTCCCGAATTGGAATATTATTATGCCTCACACGCTTGGCCGGGCCTGGCACTTGTAAGCGGGGGACAAAACATCGGTCGTCGGAGGAAATTGCTTCGAGATCGACAACAAAACGGGGGGCGATATGATCATTTTCGGGCCGATTACACTTTTCCTCATTCTTTTCATTGTGCTGGTCCTTGCTGGACGCGGCGCGTTTGAAAAGAAAATTCGCCTGGAATTTGACGCTTTTGAATCGCGCTACATGCGCGAGAATAACAAGCCTCTGCCCTATTCCTTCGCGGAGTTCTGGCAATTCACCTCGAAATACATGCAGCGCTTCCGGGTCATGCGGGCGCTGGCCGAGCTCTTCTTCCTGAGCCCTCTGGTCTTCTTCTGGCTGTCGCATGAAGCCGGCAAAGGCTGGGATCGCAATGAAACGCTGGAGATGATTTATATGGCCCTGGCCTTCATCTTCCTGGCCCTGGGGTTCGTGGGCTCGTTCTGGGTTGATCGCAAATTCGGCAAGCGCAAATTCGAGCAGCTGGTCGCAAATTTCGAGTCCACAGTCATCAACAAGGGCTAGGACCGACCTGCCGTTCTGCGCCTGGCGAGACGGCTTGGACGCCAGATAAAAAACGGCGGCGGGGAAATCCCTGCCGCCGTTCATGGTTCCGAGCGGGCTGGGATCAGCCCTGGCCGGTCGCGACCTTGTGGCCCTCGATCAGATCCTCGACCACGCCCGGCTCAGCCAGCGTCGAGGTATCGCCCAGCTTGTCGTACTCGCACTCGGCGATCTTCCTGAGGATGCGGCGCATGATCTTGCCCGAACGGGTCTTCGGAAGGCCCGGCGCGAACTGGATGACGTCAGGCGTCGCCACCGGCCCGATCTCGGAGCGCACATGGGCCTTGAGGGTCTTCTCGGTGTCTTCGGTCGGGGTCAGGCCCGCCACCAAAGTCACATAGCAATAGATGCCCTGCCCCTTGA